CCTCCTTCTCCTCCACCTCCTCCTCCACCTCCTCCTCCTCCTCCTCAGTCGCCCCCTCCCCCAACCGCCCCTAGAAGGAAGAAGGGAGGCGTTCGGCCAGAGTTGATCCGCTACCCTGCCGCAGGCACTGAGTGGAGTGTCCTCCGACCGCTTCGAGCTGTCCGCATTGAGTACGGAGCGCTCCTAAACGCTTTTGGGCGGTCTCGGGGTTGCTCGCGTGAGTTTTCAAAGGTATCAGCTTGAGATGGTTTTAGAGCCCGAGTTCGGGCTCTCTCAAGCGCTTTTTCGGCAGTTTTGAAGGCCCTGGGGGCCGGTCCAAGGGGCCAGCATCACTGAAAAGCCTTAAATGGACGTGTGAACTTGGCATACTCGTCTGTCTGGTCTTCAGGGCGACCAAGACGGCTGAAGAGGCCCCCAAGATCACCCGAAAAGGGGCCAACGATCGGGAACCCGAAGTGACATTTCGATCCATGTCCTCCGACATGGGCCCCAAGACCGCCAAGAGATAAGTCGCTTCGAAAGCCTGGACCGATCGCACCTCGGGAGAGGTCCAGAGATTATCAGTGTCGGCATCTCCCCACAACAGTGCTTTCGGCGGTGGACAAACCTCCCTTTAATAAACCACCCTTTAGTGAAAACGGCCCAGGACCGAAACCGACGGACCTGGACCCGCAAAAAATGGCGGCCGCGACGCCCTCTCGCGAACCGAAAACGGCCAATTCACTAATCGACGTCTCAGGGTAGGAGTTCAATCGACCTCCGATGCTTGCACCGATGAGAGGCAACGGTAGGGGGGGATAGGCGTTAGCGGGGGATGCATCGACCTGGAATCGGCGATACATCGCCGATAGATCGGCGATAGGCCCCCGATCGTGAATCCGCACCTTCCTGGGCGGGGTGGGGCTATCGGGTCCCTACCGGCGATCAATGGGCGATTGGGGATCGATGCATCCCCCCCTATGCCTATCCCCTCTATCGTTGCCCCTGCTTAATCAACCTCCGAGGAGGCTAGGAGGAGGAGGAGGAGGAGGAGGCAAGAGGAGGAGGAGGAGAAGGGTTGAGGAGGAGGAGGAGCAGCAGCAGGAGGAGGAGGAGGAGGAGAGGAGGAGGAGGAGGAGGAGGAGGAGGCGGAGCAGGAGGGAGGAGGAGGAGGAAGAGGTCCATCAAACCTCCGATGCCTGCACCGAGGGGTTCCCCGCTCGGATATCCTCCGCGTGCCGGTCCGCGCTCTTTCGCCAGAGATGGTCGCCCGTGGCCGCCCCGTCGGCCGCCTCACTTGCGCTCCTCCTCCTCCTCCTCCTCCTCCTCCTCCTCCTCCCCTCCTCCTCCTCCTCTCCTCCTCCTCCTCCTCCTCCTCTCCTCCTCCTCCTGCTCCTCTTCCTCATCCTCATCCTGCTCCTCTCCTCCTCCTCCTCCTCCTCCTGCTGCTGCTGCTCCTCCTCCTCCTCCTCCTCCTCCTCCTCCTCCTCCTCCTCCGCCACCTCCTCCTCCTCCTCCTCCTCCTCCGCCTCCTCCTCCTCCTCCTCTACCCAGCGAGCCAGCGAGGAGGCCAGCGAGGAGGAGGGGGGCCAGCGAGGAGGAGGGGGCCGGCTCCCGGGGCGTCCACGAGTGGGGCGTCCACGAGGGGGGCGCGCAGCTCATGCTGAGCATTTTCCTAAGGTGGAGGGCTCAGGGTGAAATCCACATGCGCTTTTGCATCTCGAAAATTCATGTGTCTTGCGATTCACCTCCATGTGTCTTCTGACTCACCCCTTGCAAATTCTTGCTCGGTCATGGCCGGCGGCATGCGCGCGGCCCCCCCGACCTCGCTCGCCGCCGAGGAAGGGAAGTCGGCGGCGAGCTCGGGGGGGAAAAGAAAGGGGGCGGGCCCTCTCAAAAAACGTCCCCTGGCCGTCCGAGAAGCTGTCGAAGTCTTCCCCGAAGACACAGCAAACTTCTCAGAAGGCCAGAGGCCTTCCGAGCAGCCATGCCGCCTTCCGAGAAGGCATCATCCTTATCACTTCCCCCCCGCCCTCGCTCGCCGCCGAGGAAGGGAAGGAAAGACCAGGGGCTGGGGGACTCTCACGAAATCACCCGGCCGTGCAGGTGGCCCCAGGGGTACCGCACGAGAGGCCCGGACTATCGACGCGTCAGCAGGTTGCGGCCAAGAGGGGGGCGCCCAAGAGGGGGGGGGGGGGGGCGCAAATCATGGCCGGCGGCACGTGCGCGGCCCAGGGGGGGGGGGGCCAGGGACGCAACGAAACCAGAAGAGGCGCCATGAAATCTGGGGAGACAGCAAGGCCCCGGCCATGCTATCCACCCCACCTCAGTCGTCACCACCCTCTTGGCCGCCCCCGACATTGACGACCGCTCACGACGTCAGCGGCCCCGTGCCCAGCGCTGACAGATGGCTGCCCTGAGGGAGGCCACCCGGCTCCGCACGCCTCGCGCCCCACGGCGCGCGGTCCGCCCCGCGCCCTCGCGAGGCAGCCCCGAGAAGGACAGCACTCTGGCCGGGCCGCGACGCGCGAATCGCGACTTCTTTTTCCTCCTCCTCCTCCTCCTCCTCCTCCTCCTCCTCCTCCTCCTCCTCCTCCTCCTCCTCCTCCTCCTCCTCCTCCTCCCCCTCCTTTTCCTTGGAGGTGCCCCAGGACCTCTGACAGCCGCTCACAATAGGCGATCGAAATCCCACCAGCCCTCTGGGCGTAATTGGTTGAACGAACTTTGGCTTCTCTCTGCCAAAACCCGTCCTTCCCTTGCTCGGGGGAGGGGATCTGTTCCCTATTGGTATACACCCCCTCCCCCAGGCGACCGGCGGCCATCCAAGAACCATGATCACCCCCCACACACCATCCCTGTCAAAAAAACGATACAAAAAGCACCATGCTTCCACATTTGGAAAATGCGCGGCCAACACGATGCGGTCGCCCCCACCATCCCTGTCAAGAAACAATACAAAGTACACTTTCGGGCAAACTCTTGAATCACGCTCGTGAGGCCCGCGAGCACTTTGTATTGTTTTTTGACAGGGACGGCGGGGGTGTCACCACAGTGCCTGCTGCGCGCAGGGCCACCAACCCCTAACCAAAAAAAACAATACAAAATACCCCTCGCGGCTAAATCTGGATCATGCGCGGCCACATCGCGATCACTGTCAAATGGTTTTTGACAAGGGACGGCGGGGGTGGTAGCAGATGGCCTGCTGTGCGCAGGCCAACCAGACACAATGATGGGCATTGGTTTTCGACAGGGATGGCGGGGGCCTACATGTTTCCCAGTGTGTGCTGTCACGTGCGCGGGCGCCCCTGACACACTCTGCACTTGCCCCGAACGTGGCGCACCTGACACGGCTGGAATGTGCGGCACACCCAGCGCACGCGGAGCACGTGGCGAAACTGGCGCACCAGCTGTGCCAGGCACGTTTGGGCCCCAGGGGTGCCTGGCGCGCGTGGCGCGCCTGGCACGGGTGGCGCACCTCGCCCCAGCGTCGCGCACATGGGGACGGTTTTGGTTCCCAGTAGCTGTCCATCCAAAGACTACCTCTGAACATGTTCAGGCTCGGGTGTTACTCATGTGTTGGGAGGGCGGGTGGGAGTGAGCTAGACGGTTTGCTATCCAAGGGGTGTTTTGATCACTGTTCCCTATTAATATACACCCCCTCCCCCAGGCGACTGGGAGCCAACCAAGGTTAATGCGGGAACCCCCCCACCATCCCTTTGTAAAAAAAGCAATGCAAATACACACTCTGCCCGCAGCGAACCCGACGCGGCCTCCCCCCACCATCCCTGTCAAAAAAACAATACAGAGTACACTTGGCGGCTGCGGCGGCTGCGGAGGCTGCAGCGGGGGCAGCGGCTGCGGCGGCTGTGGCGGTGGCAGCGGCGGTGGCGGCGGCGGCGGCGGGGGCGGCGGCGGCGGCGGCGGCGGTGGCGGCGGCGGCGGCAGCGGTGGCGGCAGCGTCTGCGGCGGCAGCGTCTGCGGCGGCGGCGATTTGGCAGCGGGGGCGACGGCGGCGGCGGCGGCGGCGGCGGCGGCGGACGGCGGCGGCGGCGGCGGCGGCGGGCGGCGGACAGCGGCGGCGGCGGCGGCGGCGCGGCGGCGGCGGCGGGCGGCGGCGACGGCCGTGGCGGCGGCGGCCGTGGCGGCGACGGCGGATTCGCCCCCAGTAACTGCCCATCCAAAGACGACTGCTGAATATGCTGCGGCTCGGGCCAAGCTCGGGTGCTACGTATGTGGTGGGAGGGCGGGTGGGAGTGAGCGAGACGGCTTGCGGGCGGGGAAGGAATCTTGACCCCTCCCCCTACCCCCCCCCCTGGGCCTGGGAAGGGGGGGTGCGGAGTGGTTAGAGCATCCAAGATGGCCAAAGATAGCTCCAAGAGGGCCTCAGAGAGCCCACGGTGGCCTCCAAGATGGCTCAAGATACCTCAAGATGGCTCAAGATAGCTTCCGACAAACATCCAAGAGGCCCCAAGACGGCCCCAAGAAGGTTTCAAGTGCCATCCGAGCCCTGCACTGACCCCCCCTCCCTCAAGCCAAATGGCTCGAAAACCAACGAAGAATCCATGTGGTTTGCCTTCTTGCCTTTTCGCGTCCGATGGGCCCTTGAGGTCGTACGATGACCCCAAGACGGCCCAAGAGAGCCCCAAGAGGGGCCTGACAGGGCCCCAAGACGGCCCCAAGAGCGCCCAAGAGCGCCCCAAGAGTACCCCGAGACGGCCCCAAGACACAATTTTTGAGCCTCCTAGGGGGGGGACTGAATTTATTACACTGGAGGCCAGTCCACAAGAAACCTTCCACAAGAAACCCAACCCAACCCTGAGACCCCAGGACGTCCATTGATCTTTGGTGTGGGAACGTCACGCTTTCCATAGCAAGACCATCGGAGCCCGAGAAACCCAGGGCACCCTGGAGGCAAGCAGGATGTTTCTTGGCGTAGGCCTCCACTGTATCCCCCCTCTTTTTGCACAGAGCGCCCAGACTTGCCCCAGGAGGCCTCCTAGACGGCCGGCAACCCGGGCCTCCGGCGGCCGTCCGGGACGATCCGGGCACCCCCGGGGAGCTCCCGAGGAGGCGCCGCCGCCGAGCAGCAGCCCGAGTCTGGAAGACGTGCTGGCACAGACCGAAGCGCCCGAAGACGCCCGAGAACCTCTCGAACCTCGAGCCCGAGAACCTCGGCGGCGACGATAGGGGCGAATAGCCCATGGGCGGGCATTACACGCATTTGCCCGGGAGCCTTTTCGAAGATGCAGATCATCGGCGCACCTGAATACATGTATTGCTCTCCCGTGAACTATTCGCCCCTATCGTCGCCTCTGAGAACCCCGCTGGTCAGCACCCCCCTCCAGGCCGCCCCAGCAGCAGGCGGGCCCGACTGCCGCGCCGAGCTCCCTCGCGGGCGGCCCCCCCACGGCGGCGAAGCGGCGCCGGCCTCCGCAGAGACGCGCCGAGCGCCGCGATCGCCTCCCCGCCCGCTCGGGAGGCACCGCGCGCGCGCGCTGGAGAGGAGCGGCGAACAAAGAGCGGAGGAGGAGGCAGATCCTGACCCCCCCCAAAGGCCAAAATCCTCCAAGCACCTGTTGGAACATACTGATTTGTCCTTTCTCGCCTGTGCGCTTCCGATGCCCGTTGGGGGCCTCAGGATGGCTCCAAGAGCGCCCAAGAGAGGCCCTCGAGGCGCCCAAGAGGCCCCCCGAGACGGCCACAAGAGCGCCCAAGAGCGGCCCAAGAGCGTCCCAAGAGGGCCCCAATAGGCGATGTTGATGGCCCCAGGGGTGAGGGTGGACGCAAAGTTAGGACCCCCCCTTTGATCGATGGCCTCCAAGATGGCGCCAAGAGGTCCTCTAGGGCTCCCGAGGGACCCCCAAGAGGGCTCCAAGAGTCCCAAGAGGGCCCCAAGACCCACCAAAAGAGCTCCAAGAGGACTCCAAGATCCCCCAAAAGAGTCTCAAGAGGGCTCCAAGAGGAGATTGTGAGGGCTCTGTCCTCGTCCGCGATGTCCTCCTCCTCGTCCTCCTCCCCCTCCCTCCTCCTCCTCGTCCTCGTCCTCGCCCTTGCCCTCATATTCTTCCTGTTTCTAGTCCTTTTCCTCGTCGTCGTGGTCGTTGTCGTCGTCGTCCTCCTCCTCCTCCTCCTCCTCCTCCTCCTCCTCCTCCTCCTCCTCCTCCTCCTCCTCCTCCTCCTCCTCCTCCCTCCTCCTCCTCCTCCTCCTCCTCCTCCTCCTCCTCCTCCTCCTCCTCCTCCTCCTCCTCCTCCTCCCCCTCCTCCTCCTCCTACTCCTCCTCCTCCTCCTCCTCCTCCTCCCCCTCCTCCTCCTCCTCCTCCTCCTCCTCCTCCTCCATCCATCATCATCATCATCATCATCATCATCATCATCATCATCATCATCATCATCATCATCATCATCATCATCATCATCATCATCATCATCATCATCATCATCATCATCATCATCATCATCATCATCATCATCTCATCATCATCATCATCATCATCATCATCATCATCATCATCATCATCATCATCATCATCATCATCAATCATCATCAGCATCATCATCATCATCATCATCATCATCATCATCATCATCATCATCATCATCATCATCATCATCACCAGCATCACCAGCATCATCATCAGCAGCATCTTCATCAGCATCAGCATCATCATCATCAGCATCATATTCATCGTTACCATCATCATCATCACCATCATCAGCATCAACAACAACAACATCATCATCATCACCAGCATCACCAGCATCATCATCATCATCATCAACATCTTCATCATCAGCATAATCATCATCAGCATCATCTTCATCGTTACCATCATCATCATCAACATCATCATCATCATTATCATCATCAGCAACAGCATCATCATCACCACCACCACCACCATCAGCATCATCATCATCAGCATAATCATCATCCTCATCATCAGCACCATCATCATCATCATCACCATCATCCTCATCATCATCATCCGCATCACCATCATCACCATCACCGTCATCATCATCATCATCGTCATCATCATCACCATCATCATCGTCATCATCATCGTCATCATCATCAGCATCATCATCACCATCACCATCACCATCACCATCATCATCAGCATCATCATCATCATCATACTCAGCATCCTCATTTTCCTCTTGCTCCGCCTCGTCTTTCCCTCGCCCCCACGCGGGCCCCAAGGATGGCCCGAAGAAGCCCTCCAAGGCCACCCGCTTGCTCCCAAAGATCTCTATGCTCACCCTGGTTGCCCGCTTTGTTTCATTAACTATATGTGTATCATATCCCGTTGTCCGATTAGCTCTCACGGACAAGGTTTGTGAATGGGTTGGTGGGGATACTTGTTTGTTCGCGAACGCAAAACGGAAGGGCCGCGCGCCGTCCAAAGTGACAGTTAACAAGCTGGAGCCTACATTGCACACGAAAGAGCTGGTGGGGATATCTGTTTGTCGCAACCAAGCGAAAGCGCCGGCGGCGTCACAGGTCGGTTCGGGCAACTAGCAGAACTAATTTGTTAGCGCGCGCGCGCGCAGGCAACAGCTAAACCTACCGCCGGGGGATTCTGGGCTGCGCCGAAAGCAGAGGCTGCTACCGCCGGGGGAAGCGGGGCTGCGCCGAGGGCGGGGGCTGCCAAGAGCTGCCGGGGCTGCCAAGAGGCTGTGCAGGCGCGCGCGGGCATCCCAGGGACGAGACCACCAGGATGAGTGAATTGGACCGTGACGCATCCAGGCGCCAGAGGTCGACGCGCCACAGAAGTGGCGAAGCGCGGGGCTGCAAAGACTGTCCAACGTGGTTGGCTGCAGACCGACAGGGGGAACACACATGGTCGATCAAGAAGGCTGAACCACTCCTGAACGAACCAGCGGCCCAGAAACCCAACGGCCAGCGGCAACGGCAGACACGGCCAGGCTGTGGCGGTGACTGGAGACCTGAAGCCAGGGAAGTGCAAGCACTCGTGCCGGAACAGATTTGTTTTGCGATCAATCACATCGCAAAGGGGGAGCAGTACTGCACTACGTGACGAAAGGAAGCAAGCAGCATGGAAAGATCTGCTGCTTCCGCGCTACGATCACAACGTGCCGAGAAGAAGCTGCACGTCGCAAAGAGTGACCATCAGCAGGAGAAGCGGAGGAGGGAACCAACGCTGAGGCTACCGCTGACAACAAGATTGCGGTGTGCCGGCCGCCTTCGCGCACGGGCGACCTCGAGGGTCGCACCGAGCACGGAAGGCAGCGGCAACCACCCGCAGCATCTCCTGTCTGACAACCCGCCGAAGGCACCCCGCCCACTTTGCCATTGATGGAAAGCTGCCCGCCAAATCTAAAGGATTAAAACAGCTGCAAGATACCGCGGGGAGGGTTCGAAACGCCCAAATTAGTTGCAAACACTCGGAGCTTGTTGAAACCGGGTGCACGCACTGCGACTCCAGCTGACGGAGCAGGCGCAGCCAAGGTAAGAGGGGGCGATGAGGAACAAGGAGAGGGAGAAGGAAGAGGAAAAAGAGACATCCCGCCGTCGCCACAACCAGGAGAAGGAAGAGGAGACGGCGCCACGATGGGCCTTGGGCCTCAGCGTCCAGAGCTGGCCGTAGAAAGGCCTCGAAGAGGCACCCAGAGCTACAGAAGCCTCCATGACGACGCCTCTAGAGGCGAGACATCTAAATTCGTCTGGTCTTTCACTCTTCGCTCCTCCCCCCTCCTCCCCCCCCCTCCTCCTCCTCCGACAAGCCAATGGCGCATTCCTTGTCCATGGCTTTCGCCCTCTGCCCAAGCAACGCCTGAGCGCGCCACTTCCAGGCCTGCTTGCCCAGAACCGCCGCCTGAGTGCGCTGCTCGTCGGCCGCCCCGCCCGCGCCGCCGGTCCCACCGTCTGCGCGCCTGGGAGGCAAGATCACGTGAATCACTGGCTCGGGGTCGGGCTCGGGGTCGCCGCCACGGAGCACCTCCTGGAACGTCCTGCAAACAACGGCCACTGTGCCGCAGAGGGCGACGAAACCACCGCTCGCGGCCAACACGATCTCCAGGATGTTTTCAGAGGGCGCCGGAGTGGTCACCGTTGTCGCAGTGCCGTACAAAGTGACGATAGTGGACGCCGGGTAGCTGTTCATCAGCCCACTGGTCAGCACGAGCGACCCGATGCTCGCAACAGTCCCGTTTCGACGTTGCCGCCTCCCTCGGTCTTCACCTTGCAACCGACGCTGAAACCCACCGTGGAAAGAAACCATATACAATACAGTATCGCCTGCCGAAGCTGGTGTCGCCAATGTAGTCGACACCGTTGAAATTACGGTCGTGGTTGTAGTGGTCGTGGACACCGTGGTACTTGTGGTCGTAGTTGTAGCGGTCGTGGCCGCCTTGAAACATGCGATATCCTCGGTGATGTCCAAGCTGGTTTCTGCCCCCGGTGATCCACGGTAGTGATCACAATGCCCATAATATCCAGCTCGCGCTTGGACAAAAAGGCTGAAGGCTATGCACGATGAACTGTGTGCGTGCAAAGAATTGCGCACGTGCTGGCAGAAGAATCACCATCTGGCCGAGCAGTGTTGTCCGCCCAATACCCGTATTGTGAGAACGCGTACCCGTCTGGACATATTGCCGGAAAGGGGAAAAGCTGGCATTCCCGCGCGTGGCCCATGTGCGAACAGTCTGCTTCACAGCAGAAATCGTCGTAGCCGCCACAAGTACGCTGTTCACACATGACAGGAAAATTCGGGGGGGCACCGCGATCTGCCTCCATGATCCTCGCAACATCCCCAGCCATCCGACGCCCCTGAGCATAGCGTTCCATCAACGCACGCGAATATGTTGTCGTTCGATGTTGGCGAGAGCCACGGGCACACCTCGTTAAACAACACCTCGTGAAGCACATATACGCGATAGCCCGCTTCCGCATGAATTGTGCAATCGCCGTTTGTTTGCGGGACGCAATCGCACCATCCGTCCCATGCACATAGCTCGCGCAAGCGTCAATGTTGTCTATGCCTACGTTCGTTGAGAACCACGATTTGAACAGATGGCGTCTTCCGTATGTAGACTAAACACATCCTTCAAACATGCGATATTATCGGTGCTGTCCAAGCTGGTTTCTGCCCCCAGTGATCCAAAGTAGTGATAACAATGTCCATAAGATCCAGCTCGCGCTTGGACAAAATTGCTGAAGGCTGTGCACGATGAACTGTGCGTGCGAAGAGTTGCGCACGTGCTGGCAAAAGAATCACCATCTGGCCGAGCAGTGTTGTCCGCCAAATACCCGTTGTGTGAAACTGAATACCCGTCGGGTCATACTGCCGAGGTCGGCGCAGGACTTGGGACCGCGGTTGCCGTCGCCAGCAGCACCGCGTTGAGCAGTGTCGCTCTGGACCGCTGGCGCGGGGCGCCCCAGTCCACCGCGCACTGCCGGGGCGCCGCCGTGGCCCTCGACCGCGCACGCGGTCGCACGCGGCCCGCCACTGCCGCCCTGGCCCTCGGCTGCGGCGCAGCTCCTCGCCTTGCCGGTTTCGGCCCGGGCCCCCGCATGGCCGCCGATTCGGGCACTCCGCTGGCAGAATTTCCGATGGGGTGGTCCGCCTGAGGGAGGCTTCTCCCTGCGCTTGAGCCAGAAGGCTACGGACGCTGGCGGGGAAACGCGAAGCGTGAAGACTTGGGGAAGACCTGCCATCGCGCTCTGCGTCCCCGACGATGGATGTCTGCACCTCTCTTTCCAGAGAAGGCCTACATCGAACTCGTACCTTTTCGGGTGCACCCGCAGATACCCTGGATCGGCGCTGGGCCCCCTCCCTGGCGCGCAAAGCGAGCCAGGGGCGGCGCCGAAGGCGCCGCCAGGCAGGGTCAGCAAAGGGAGGGTTAGCGAATCAGCTCACGCAAATGAGGGTTCGTACCCCCCCTTTCCCTATCCACGCCTTTCGTCCGACCCGGCTCTCCAGACATGTCATGCCTTCACTTGTTCCATACAGCCGGTGGGCTGCTTTTAGCACTTCGAGGGTGAGCGGACCCACCCGTGATTTGAATGTCATGCAGAGAGGCGCGGGCGGGGCCCCCAGGAACGAGCCCTCAAACTAGGGCTCGACGTCCTGGGGCCCGCTGTTGACATGAGGAACGCCACACAAGGAACGAAGCGCCTCTTCGGCCACAGGAGCGCAAACGTGGACGAGGAGGACTGGAGGAGCCGCCACAGAAGAGCCCAAGGAACATCGAGCCCCTTCGAACGCAGACTGGTCCCTACTTCATCGCCCTGACTAGGGGGCCAGATGCGAACCCTACCCCTACCCCCCACGATTTCTGAGGGGGAGGGTGGGGTTCACTTCGCTCGGGAGCTCCCAAGCGAAGTGAACCCCACCCCACCCCCTCAGAAATCGTGGGGGGTAGGGGTAGGGTTCGCATGTGGCCCCCTAACTTCAGCGTCCTGACTGTACGCGGTCCCTGGAAGCCACGACCATTTCCCCAGGGCTGGTTCCGGGCCAAGATTTGTTTGTAATTCGGGGATGGACAGAACCCCTTATAGTAAAACGTGGTTTAGTAAAACGCCATCGGGCTAAAACCTGGTGGGCGCAAGCCTGGAAAATGACGGCCGCGGCGCCCACTCGAGAACCGAAAACGGACAATTCATGAATCGGCGCGTCATGGTGGGGGTTCTGTCCACCCCCGAGTACTGGAGTCGCAAAAAATGCCCGCTCCCGCGGACCAACACCGCCACATGCAACACATTCTGCCCGCATCCAGCGAAGGGTCCCAAAGCCGAAGCTGGGCGACTTCCCCGGCGGACCCATCTGCCTTTCGGCGGACTGCCTAAAGCAAGCCCAGGGGCTCCGAAGACGGCCCAAGAAAGCCCCAGGAGGCCCTCCGAGAGGGCGCCAAAGAAGCAAAGAACCGAGAGAAAAGAACCGATGTGCGTTCATTGGTTGTCCTGCAGTCGAGGCGTTGACCTCAGGAACCCCAAAATAAGGAACGAGGCCCTTTTTTCATAAGTCAACCTTCGACTTCCCATCGAAAACTGAAGGACAACCTTGGGCAAGGTGCGGAACTTAAAGAATACCAAGCCCCTCCCCAACGTCCGCTCGATGCCACCGTCGTCGTAGTTGTTGAGAGTGCCACAAAATCACTTGTACGTGTCGACCAGCATGGTTTGCTTTGGGTGGACCACTATCTTCTCCGTCGTTTGAGCGCACCGAAAATGCTTTCTCGGGTTAAGTAACATCTTATGCCCGTACGTAAATCAGCTTCAAAATCATATGCCGCCAAGGGCAGGCGACGCCGCGCTAGCACCACGCAGCGTGTGAGGTTCCAGCGCCCCGACTGCACATGCTCGAACTGCCATGCCCGATCCGGCACGAACGGTTGCGCGAGCTGCTGCGTACGTGGTTGCGGCACCCTTTGCAGAGGACCCCTTCGTCCGAGTCTGACCCGAGGCCAAAAAGCCCACCCCCAATATATCTGAAGGGGCCCTGGGACACACAAATGAATACACAATAACAGGATTTCCCATATCTTCCCATATGTTCTGGGTCTTTGTCTTCCCCCCACTTCCCACATTTTCCAGTATTTTTTTAGGAGTCGACGATTCAGTGTGTCTGTGTGCTTTTCCCTCCTGAATAGTAATTACCCACCACGACACGCGAAGTCGTTTGGCAGACGCGCCCCAGGAAGGAATCGAACAGGGCAGAGCTGTGCAGTAAACGCCCAGGGCTGTTTGGTAAAAACCAGTTGTCGGTTCTGGGTGGTTTTTCCTCCCTTGACGTTTGGCAGACGCGCCCCAGGAAGGAATCGAACAGGGCAGAGCTGACGCCCAGGGCTGTTTGGTAAAAACCAGTTGTCGGTTCTGGGTGGTTTTTCCTCCCTTGACTAGGGGGCCAGATGCGAACCCTACCCCTACCCCCAACGATTTCTGAGGGGGAGGGTGGGGTTCACTTCGCTCGGGAGCTCCCGGACGAAGTGAACCCCACCCTCCCCCTCAGAAATCGTGGGGGGTAGGGGTAGGGTTCGCATGTGGCCCCCTAGTTTGGTAAAAAACAATTGTCGGTTCTGGGTGTTTTTTCCTCCCTTGACTGAAAGGGCCAGGCTTCTCATCCCCGAGTCGTTTTGTTGACGGTCCACCGGGGCCCGGCGAGGACCCCACCGAGACCGGAGGCACCGCCGGGGAGGCTCAGCTCAGAACGACCCGCGCGGACCTTCGAAAGTTTCTGTTCAGCCCATGCTGGGGTCAGCCCAGATAACTCGTGGTAAACTACGCTGATCGAGATGCCTCCGGATGGATCGAAGCATCTCCAGAGATCCCCAGGGCAGATCGCGGCGACGAGGAGCTGCCGTTCTGGGGCGACGAGATCTGCACGTGTCCACTGCCCCCACTGGCCAGGCCCACCCTGGGCCCAGCAGCTTGAGCAGGGACCGACCGTCGCGGCATTCCTATAGCCCTACCACGAAATATTCTTAGAACCCAAAAATGTTCTACGAACCAAAACAATGTTCTTAGAACATAAGCCCGATGCGATAAAACAGGACAGTCCCAGCCAGAAACGTTCTAAGAACATTTCGTGGAAACCACCACAGGTTCTTAGAACTTTGTTTGGTAGGGCTATAGGCACGCCGGGACGCTTCGTCACTGCTTGATGCAGCGGTGTGTACGCCACGCCCTCCTGGCTTGGCCCGGAGGGCGTGCGGGCACAGCTCCTGGGCCCAGGGAGGGCCTGGCCAGGGGGAGCAGTGGACTCCTCCTCCTCCTCCTCCTCCTCCTCCTCCTCCTCCTCCTCCTCCTCCACCCCCTCATCCCCCTCCTCCCCCTCCTCCTCCCCCTCCTCCCCCTCCTCCCCCTCCTCCCCCTCCTCGTCGCCCGAGCTGCTCGGCTCCGACCTCCGCTCCCCCCTCCTTACCGTCGCTCGGACGTCCACTTCCCGTGCACTTGTCGGTTTCGTGCGTGCTTTTTGTTTGCTCGATGGTCCTCGATGGTTCTCGCGGAGAGAGAGAAGATGCACACGTCCGAGCGATGCCAAGCCACCCTGGCAGCTGCTCCAGCCGCCGAGCGCGGCATGGGACCTTGCTTGCGGTGGGGCGGGAGGACGAGGCAAAAGCAAGAGCGCCAGGAGCCAGCTGCCGTAGGGCTGGGCCCCAATCCCGGGCCCACGATCGGTGTGCACGCCTGCAGGAACCTTCCGTGGCGACTTCCTCCACGATCCGAGCAAGTCTTGGGCTCGCCCCTCCCTCGGGAAACCAACAAAGTGTCCGGGTAGCGCTACTCCCTGGACCTCTCCCGGGATGCGCCCGGACCAGAATTTCCCGGCGCACCCAGCGGTGGCGACGAGGGCCTCCCAAGAGGCCCCCAAAAGAGGGGAAAACGATGGAAGGGTAGGAGGAGAGGAGGAGGAGGAGGTGGAGGAGGTGGAGGAGGAGGGGGAGGAGGCATCGCTACCTTGGCCTCCTCTGACTCTCAGGCCGAATCCCGCCCCCCGGGTCACCACGGCGGCCGCCGCGCCCGCGCCGAAGCCCAGGGTGGACTCGACGCCTCACGCGCGGCAAGGGGGAGGTGGAGCGAGGCCCGGCTCCCGCCTCACGAGGCTCTCGGAGCAGCAACGCTCAAGCCGATGGTGATCTATGAAGGGGCCCCAGGCAGGACACACAACTAAATACACACAAATTCGCCGGCCCAACGGGCCAGGGCGTGCTAAGATCTCCGGTACCTGGTTAACAGTATTTCTAGTTCGCGCGCGCGGGGCGGCCCCTGGGGGTCCCCGGACGAAAAGTACCCCGGCAAGGTCCCGGCAAGGTCCCGGCAAGGTCCCGGCAAGGTCGGGTCAGAGATGCCGGAGTGCTGTTACAGGGCCCCAGGACGGGCCAAGAGGTCCCCAAGAAGCCTCCAAGACGGTCCAAGAGGGCCCCGAGACGGCCAAAGATCGCCCGAAGACGCCCAACAGGGCCCCAAGACAGCCCAAGAGGCCTCCAAGACGCCCCAAGGGCCTTCCAAGAGGCCTCCGAAGAGGGCCCCAAGAGGCCAAAATCGTTGATTTTCATTGTTTTTTCTATGTTTTTTGCGTTCTGGCTTTTTCGGCTTCCGGACGCTCCAAGACGGCCCAAGAGGCCCCCAAGACCGCTCCAAGACGGCCCACGAGGCTCCCAAGACGGCCCCGGAACGGCCCAGGAGGGCCCCCAAGACGGCCCAAGTGCCGCCCAAGACGGACCAAGAGGCCCCAAGACGGGCCCAAGAGGGGCTCAAGAGGGGAACCGAGAACTGAAAAATCGAGCCCTCCGCCCCAGAAGGCGCCCAGGAGGCCCCAAAAAGGCCCCAAGAGGCCCCCAAGAGGCCCCCAAGACGCCCCAAGAGGCGCCCAAGAGGCCCAAAAGAGGCCCCAAGAGGCCCCAAAACGGCCCCCAAGAGGCCCCAAAACTCGGCTAGCCCACAACGGTGCGACAATATGGGCCGGCGGAATGAGCGAAGCGATTAAATAAAAAGATGTCCCATATTTTCCTATATTTTCTGGTTTTTGTCTTCCCCCCCATTTTCCATATTTTCCCATATTTTCTGGGGAGTCGACGATGAATTGTGTCGGTGTGCTTCTTTCCCTCCTGAATCTAGAAGTCCAGGCCTCGGAGGGAGGGGGCGGCAGGGGGGGGAGGGCGCCCCCAACAGCCTCCGCGGCCGGCCCAGATTGGCCTCCGCGCGGGGGGGGGGTCGCCCCTGACGGCCTCCGCGGGAAGGGAGGGGGGGGGGGGGCGGAGCCGCCCCCGACGGCCTCCGCGGCCGACCCGAAGCAGCAGAGGGAGGAGAGGGGGGGAGGAGGCAAGGGCGGGGGCGGGGGCGGGGCGCCGGCCCTCCCCTCCCGCGCGCACGGGGGGCGGGCGGGGGGCAGGCCCACCTCCTGGGAGCCGACAGCACGAAAGATGGCAACACGGCGACCGAAGCAGAGCGATGTCCAAAACGCGCTGGAGTTCAGAACGAGAAAACAGAAGAACGAGGCCGAACGTTTAGAGCAAGCGCGGACTCGAGAACGAAACCCGTGCCAAACGAAGACTAAGCCGACACGAAGCACGGCGAAACAACGAACCGGACGAAAAACAGAACAGGGGCCGAAACCGAGCTCGACAACAGCGTTGGGCGCGGTCCTTGCTGCAGCATCGTCACAGAAAAACGGCCTGAGCCCTGGACTCGATCTTTCTGCAGCACTGTCCGAGCCGGCTCGATCGGTGATAGTCCCGGGGATCGAGACCGAGCGAGAATGCCCAGCGTGAAGAGTTGCAGCGCCTGGATCTCACGGAGGGCCGCCTCCCGTTGCACGCCCAGTGGAGCTACTGAGCCCGATGAGAGGCCATCGAGCCGCACGAGCCCAGATTAAGCCCAGGATCGGCCGGACATAGGACAGAAGAACATCCTCCAAGAACATGAGACCCTCCGCCGGTCAAAACACTCAGAGCATTCGAGGGTGCCCTCCCCCAGGATGCACAAAAACATCCAGCAAGCACGAAGAGCACTACTACCAGTCACCTGATTCTGCCAGAAAGACAGAGTGCTGCAACCAGCATTTGAAGCGCTACACCTGGAGAGGTATAGCCGGTCCCAGGAAAGAACCGAGATGAACAGGTCATACTGAAAACCATCCCCATGCTGAGAGCGTCACCTGCAGCGGCAACCCTCCTCCCTCATTTCTTTGCTTCCTCACCTCCCTCCTCCCTCAGATTCTGCCGGAATGGACCGGTCGTCGGCCACGGATATATCAGCGAAGATGTTAACTCTGACCTCCCAGGGGTTGGTGATGCGGGCGGACAGCCATCACGGACGGGCCGGCAGGGAGCTGTGGCACCAGAGCTCCAGCTGAGCAACGAGAAGAAACGGGTCTTACGCGAGATGGCATAGCGACCACACGTAGCAGCTTGCGCGGGCCGCCAGCGCGGCACGCCACATTGGAGACGAAGGCGCTTACGCGCGACCTTAACCGGGCAGCTTACGCGTGAATGTCGGCGCAGTCGAAAACGTTTTCCGGTGGCGAGCGGGGGGGGAACTGAGAAGAAGAAGGTCTTCTCAGAAGGCGGCGGGGCTTCTTGGAAGCCCTCGCGCTGTCTGGGAAGTTGTCTGGTCTCCTGCGCCTTCGGGAGAGACTCAGAAAACTTCTCAGAAGCCCAGGGGGGCTCCCCAGCCATCTGAGAAGGCCCGCCCCTCTTCACTCCCCCCCCCTCGCTCGCCACCGAGTGATTCTTCGTCGCTCAGCTGGCGGCCCTGTGTGCTCAGCGCTTCCCCGCTCCGTGGCCCCACTCGCTGTCTCCGACGGGGGGGCCCTGCGACAGCGACTATCGAGCTGCTCCGCCAGCTCCAAGTGGCTGAGCCCACGAAAGGCCGCGGAGCACGAGAAGACCATCGGGAAGGTCCTCTTCAAAAGCATGGCATGGAGAAGGAAGAGGAGGAGGAGGGGGAGGAGGAGGAGGAGGAAGAGGAGGAGGAGGAGGAGGAGGAGGAGGGGGAGGAGGAGGAGGAGGAGGGCCAGAAGAGGGCCAGACGAGGGCCAGAAGAGGGAGGGGGGCGCACTGTCGACCCAAGCATCCGACGATGTGATTAATCCAATCCGCACCCCCGAGTAAGACGAGGCCAGAACGGGCCCAACATCTTATCGGGACAGATCGGGATCTCTGAGATCGGGCGGCTCTGGAGGAAGCATCGGACGCCGCGGCCTTGCCAGAGAGTTCCAGAACGGTCTGAGAGCGTTACAGAACGCTCTGGAATAATGCATCCCGTCCTTCCTCCGCCCGACAATCCACGTCCCAGAGGTTTTGATCACCTGCCTGGGAGCAGTTCGTCCCAGGCACAAATATGACGGCCCCGGGGGAGCTAAAACGGCCTGCCGAAATCAGGGGAAAAACGCTGGGATCGAACAAATCCTTCGAATGTCTGGTGACAACAACAACCACTCCAATAACAACAACAGCAACAACAACAACAACAACAGCAACAGCAACAGCAACAGCAACAACAACAACAACAACAACAACAACAACAACAACAACAACGACGACGACGACGACGACGACGACGACGACGACGACAACAACAACAACAACAACAACAACAACAACAACAACAACAACAACGACGACGACGACGACGACGACGACGACAACAACAACAACAACCACTCCAACAACAACAACAACAACAACAACTGCAACAACAACAACAACAAAGGACAACGACAACGACAACGGCAACGACAACGACAACGACAACGACAACGACAAAGACAACGACAACGACAACGGCAACGACAACGACAACGACAACGACAACGACAACCACAACCACAACGACAACAACGACAACCACAACAAAAACAACAAGAACGACAATCACAACAACAGCAACAACAGCAACAATAGCAACAACAACAACAACAACCACAACAACCACAACAATCACAATCACAATCACAACAACAACGACAACGACAACGACAACGACGACGACGACGACGACGACGACGACGACGACGACGGCGACGACGACGACGACGACGACGACGACTACGACTACGACGACGACGACGACATCCAACGTGTGCAATCCGCGCCCCAAGAGCTCCCCCCCGCCTGGAGGAGCCGACGGCACGGCCGGCGCAGAGAGCGGCCCCACTGGACGGGCCACGGAGAGGCTGGCTGGGCGACGAAGAGAGGCGGGCCTTGCGCGAGATGGCAAAGCGACTTCACACCGAGGCCTACGCAGGCCGCCAGCGTGGCATGCGGCATCGGAGGCGAGAACGCGTACGTGCGGCCTGACGCGGGCAGCTGACGCGGGCAGCTAGCGCACCAACGTTGGCGCAATCAACCCAATTCCGAGCGGGTCCTTAGGGAAACGGGTCCTGGACCCAAGGGGGCCTTTTCCCAGGACTGGAGAGATTTCTACCCTGGGTCGTTTTTGGACATTCACGGGGCCCGTGGAGGGCCCCGAGAGCGTGAAAATGGCAAAGAACCTCAGGACCCGTTTCCTGTGAGAACCCGCTTGCTTCATGGGTCGCTTGGTTTTCGGGCCATAACTCGGGTCTCCGGCGGCCGTTCGGGACAGTCAAGGCACCCCTGGAACGCCCTGGGCGAGGCGCAGCTGCAGAAGAGCACCCCGAAGCTAGGGAACCTTCAGAAACTCACGAAAACATTTGAAAACTTCGAACCTCGGTGCTTTCGGCGGTGGACAAACCTCTCTTTAGTAGACCTCCCCTTAGTGAAAACGGCCTGGGACCGAAACCGACGGGCCTGGCCCCGCAAAAAATGACGGCCGCGACGCCCTCTCGCGAGCCGAAAACGGCCAATTCGCTAATCGACGTGTAGGTCTGTCCACCTCCGAACATCTGAAAACTTCGAACCTCGGTGCTTCGACGGTTACCCTCAGGACCCGTTTCCCTCGGGACCCGCCGCTTCCCTCGTGGCAAGACATGCACACCGGCCACGGCCGAGGCCCGCCTGGTCTCAGTGTCAGGTCGGGCATGTCCCTCTACAGGAGGAATATTCACAAATAGTCTTATGTCGGGCGTGTCCCCCTACAGGGGGATTTTCGACGAAAAAATAAAACATAACCCCAAAATACCCCAAAAAGGTAAAAAATACTCAAAAAATAGTCCCCAGACTATTTTTGGACTATTTTTTGACTATTTTGCGGGTATTTCCAATTTTTACTGGAAAATCCCCCTATCGGGGGACGGGCCCGACTTAAAAATAGTCCAAACATAGTCTGGGGAGGATGTTTTGATTGTTTTCTATTCTTCATGATTCGTCCAAAATCCCCCTGTAGGAGGACATGCCCGACTCTCCTCGGCCAAGACAGGGCGCCGACGGGCCGGACACATCGGCCTGGGGCGGGGCTGCCCGCACTGCGATCAGACTGCTGCGAGAAAGGAGCCCTGAGATCTGGGCGCTGGAAATGTTCACACTGGGCGTTTTCGTCTGGTTCCGGGCCCCAGGGACATCACAGGGCGTGTTCGCCGACACGTCGGCGATGCATCGGCGATGCATGGGCGACGCATCGGCGACGCATCGGCGACGCATCGGCGACGCATCGGCAACGTCGGCGTGAAGGAAATCGGGCTCCATATCGAGCCGCATCGCCGATGCATCGACGATGCGGCGTGACACTGGGCGTGTTCGTCTGGTTCCGCGGAGAGATCCGTCCCCAGAGCCGTTCACTCCGTCCTCCCTTTGTCGGCCGCGCCCTCCCCCCGCTCCTCCTCTTGCACGGTGGCACAAGTCGCTCCAACGGCATACCCGCTTCAGCCTCTCATCGCCAGCGCAGTCACCCTCTGCCTAGCCGCCGACGCACAAAGTTCGTCTGGCACCAGGCCCCAGGGCCATCGCACATCACGGCGCAGAATGATGGGGTATGGGGCTCCGGTCTTGAGTGTTCGCGGTGTTACACTTTTTCGTGACGACGTCGGATCTCGGAGCTCTTGGTGTCTATTCCATGGGAGCCTACGTGGCCCCCGGCGCTGCCCGATTTGGGCTGGATTTGGGCCAGATTTGGAACACATGTGGGACCGGATTTGGACCAGATTCGCCCGCTCACAAGGGAGACAAAAAGAAGAGCGAGGGGGAGGAGGAGCAGGGAGAGGGCGAGGAGGAGCAGGAGACAGGGCCAAATGCGGTCCAAATGCAGGAAAAGCTGATTTCAATGTCGCCTCTCGAGGCTCCCATCAGTAGACACCGGGGCTGCCACGAAAGAGAAGCGCCGAGAGAGGAATGGAGCCCATGTCTGGGCCCCACGAACGCGGCGGGGTGCACGAGGAGCGCCGGGGGAGCCAGCCGCACGGAAGGGCACTCCCGCAAGGAACAGCAGGCATGCCCCTGCCGATCCCGAGGGGGGTCCTTCTTCCCAGATCTCCTCGCGCTGTGACAAGAATCACGACGGTAGGTTTTTCCTAATGTTCGGCCTCCGGGGGGCCTTCCCGGCCCTCAGGAGCATCAGAAAACGATTCAGGATGAAAAACCGGTCGGGGGGAAGGGGTCCAGACCATGGGGGCCGACGTTGTGAAAAAATCAGCCCTCAGGAGCATCAGCAAACGATCCGGGATGAAAAACCGGTCCGGGGGAAAGGGTCCAGACCAAGGGTGTCGACGTTGTGAAAAAAATCCCAGCGTCGGAGGTCTGGGTTCCTCATATCATTCGCGACAACGCCCGTGACTGGCCCCCCCCCTCCCTCATGGTTAAGCCTCACGGAAAAAAATACTCAAAAAATATTCCAAAATGGTCAAAGAATACTGAAACAATCGTCGCCTGACAATTGTTCGACTATTCTTGAAAATTCCTCCTGCAGGCCCGATTTAACCTTGTGGTCACGTCAGGAGTCGCGCCTGCGCCGTCTGAGAGTCGGCCATTCCTCCCCAAGCGACGCTGACGCGAATCCTGACGCGATGGGCCCCCCAGTCACGCACGTTGTCGCCCGAAGACGAAGAAGAAAGTCTCCTGGCTGTGATTACCTGTGGCCTGCCGGTTCCCTCACACCCACACCCTGAGGGGCAACGATAGGGGGACTGGCACAGGGGGGGACGCATCGACATGGAATCGGCGATACATCGCCGATGGATCGGCGATGGGCCCCCGACAGCGAAACCGCACCTTCCTGGGCGGGCTGGGGCTATCGGGCCCTTCTCGGCAATCAATGGGCGATTCGGGGTCGATGCATCCTCCCCTATGCCTGCCCCCCTATCGTTGCCCCTGCTTAATCAACCTCCGAGGAGGGCAGGAGGAGGAGGAGGCAAGAGTAGGAGGAGGAGGAGGAGGAGGAGGAGGAGGATTGAGGAGGAGGAGGAGGAGGAGGAGGAGGAGGAGGAGGAGCAGCAGGAGGAGGAGGAGGAGCAGGAGGGAGATTCGGGGTCGATGCATCCCCCCCTATGCCTGCCCCCCCCCCCATATCGTTCCCCCCGACACCTCCTCTCCCTGCGGCGGGGCGGGCGCTCCGGGCTGCCTGCAGGCTGGGCAGCCCGGCGGTGGCTGCCTCCGTGGGGGGGAGGCGGGCGCTCTGCCACGGGCCGCCGCGCCGGTGCGCCCTTCCAACCGCGGCTGGGAGCAGAGCGGCGCACCAGCCGCGGAGGGCCCCCGTCGAAACCACGCTCGCATCAGGCGGAGACATCGGGGGGTGCCAGGTCACCACCTGACATCTCATCAACTGGTTTGAGGGCTCCCAAGAGTCGGCGGTGGACGAACCGCCCTTTCGCAAACCTTCATTTAGTGAGAACGGCCTGGGGCCGAAACCGACGGACCTGGACCCGCGAAAATGTCGGCCGCGACGCCCTCTCGCGAACAGGAAACGGCCAATTCCTTAATCGAGGTGTCAGGGTAGGAGGTCCATCCACCTCCGAAAGATGTTTTCAGCGTGGCAATGACCCCCGGAGAGTTCAGTAACTCTGGTCTGGCCTCATCACTTCAGCGCTCGGGGCCAAGATGCCTACAGTGAGGTGTACGCACGCCCCCGCCGTTGCGGCGAACTCTGCGGATGTGGTCATCGTGCGTCGAGGGGACGCCATGCGGCATCGGGCTGGTGCGGCATCGGGCTGGGAGAAACGACCGAGACGGGGTGCAGAACAGCGTGCGCGAGGTGGACGGGTCTTGAAGCGCGAGCCGTCGGCCACTTACCGGTGGGTGGCTGGGGTCTCGAGTGTGGCGAGAGCCCGACGGGGTAAGCATCTTCGACTGCAGCGCAGCAGGAACCGCATCGCGTCAGCTGGCTCACGCCAACGCTGCCTGGGCCAGCCAGCCCGCTCACGAACCGGACACGAAGCAGCTCCCAAACCCGGTCAGCGGGGGGGGATCGGGCCCACGGGGCTCCCAAACCCGGATCCGCCAGAGGATCTCGGAGGTTGGCTTAGGTCGGGCCTGTCCCCCTACAGGGGGATCTTGGGCGAAAAATTAAAAATCCTCGAAAAATACCCCCAAAATGCTCAAAAATTGACAAAAAAAAATCGTCCACTGACTATCTTTGAACTGTTTTTGATTTTTCCTCCTGTAGAGGGACAGGCCCGACTTAAAAGGTTAGCAGAACCCCAGGCCAGAGGTGAGCCGCGCTGGACGGCCCCTGGACAAGGAGATGCCAGCCTCAAGCCGGAGTCACTCCCAAACCCCACCCTGGGGGGGGGACAGGCAGAAACACTTGCAATTCCAGGGGGGGACAGGCGAAACATTCGTAACCTCAACGGTAGCGCTGACCACCGCCACGCAGGCAGCGACTCAGGACGGGAACGGTGTCAAGATAGGGTTGGTTCAGGGCACGTCCAAAAACTTCCTGAGTATCTGGCAGCCCTCGTTCCTGGAGCCCGTGTGGAGCAACAGGAGGCCGTAGAAATCTTGGACCAGATCAATAAAAGAACGGCACAAGAATAAACTGTCGGAAGTCGACGCAGGTGTCTTGGATCTGCGCTGGGCCCCCCTCAAGAATAAACTGTCGGAGGTCGACGCGGGCTTCTTGGATCTGCGCTGGGCCCCAACTCCCTGGCGCGCGGAGCGCGCCACGGGCGGCGTCGGAGGCGCCGGCAGCGGGGCCTGGCGCAGATCCATAAAATCCAAAAGGGGCTCCGAAGTTCAATGTTCATGCCGAGTTCATTCGAGCATCATGATCGTTTTTTGTATACCCTCTCCTTGCCATCGCTTGGACGTCCACTCCCCGTACACTGCTGGTTTCGTGCGTGATTTTTGTTCGGCAAGATGATCCAAGATGCTCCTCGATGGTCCTCGTCGAAGAGAAACAGCTCGTCCGAGCCATGCCAAGTCTCACCAGCAGCCGGTCCTGAGAAGCGCGAGGTGCGAGGCAAGCTGGTCGCCCCATCGTCAAGGCTGTCGGTGCGAAGGCCAAGGACGAGTTCAGACGGCGCGGCCAGCCGTGACAACCGAGGAGGGCCGGATGGCCAGCACGGCAGGTTCGTGTCGTGACGACCCCAGCCTTGGGTGGTGGCGCCGCGCGGATCGTCCAGCCTTGAACGATCGGCGGCATTTCGATCGCCAGGTCGTTGTGAAGTGGCCGATCCTCCGTCACTGGCGGCGTTGACCTTGAACGCCCGCGGCAGGGTCGCTGCCGCGTCGGTACAACACGAACCTAACGCACTCCTTTGGTCCGACAGCCCACCAGGCCACCCCGAGCCAACCCGAAGTCGCCGGTGGGCTTGTCGAGTTCCAGGGGGAGAACTCTTCAGAACATGCTGAAAACACATTGAAAGCCGGACACCCCACAACCCGAAATTCGGGGGGTCGGGGACCTTCGGACTGGTCTGTGGCGGTGTGGTCGATGGTGATGGCCAGCCCCGACGAAGGATGCTCCCTAAGATCCGACGTCTCGGAAAATTGCAACATCGTCAAAATAACGGCTAGAACCCCCAAACCCCACCTTTCTGCGCCCTGCATGGGGCCGGGTCGATATGTGAGGGCAAGGGGGCACGAGGCCGGGCGGAAACGCCCGGCTCGAACAACTGAGAACAAGGATCTCGAGGTTCTTCCAGATACGGCGGAGGTCCGCCACCATGCCTGCGAGGCACGAGTTGGAGTGTCCTCAGGGCCCTTGCTCAGTCCCTCAATCCTGGAGATCGTTTGACAGGCCCGGCCCCCAATTTCTCAAGCCTCCCAGGATTCTCGGCGCGCCCGGGACGTTTTTCGGGCCGCAGAGGGCCCCAAGACGAGCCACGAGGGTCCCAGGAGGCCTCTAACCTACAGCCGAGGCACGGTGGCGGGATGGGCCGAGCGCCACTGCCAAGTCACGCGACGCCCTGCCTGTTCCAATGCGCGGCCCCAGGAAGTCCTGACAGATTCCCCGGGACTGGCTTTGCGTCCTGCATAGTTTTTCGCGGCCCTGAGTGCTCGTAAGGGCCCCCAGAGGGCGAAAACTACCAAACTCCCGTCCTGATTCTTCCACGACGCGAGCATGTCTAGGCAGGATTCCCGCGCCGCGCTACCCTGATTTCCCCCAGGGTCTCGACCCATTCCCCAGGACCGGTTTCGTATCATTTCGGCGTGGCGCTTAGCCAGCGAAGCATTCGACGACAAAACGTGTTGCAAAATGTCTCGTACTTCGAACGCAAATGCAAGGAACAACAACGATGTAAACGCAAAAGTGTGAATATGACATGCGTGCCCACGAGACGCTCCATGCCCAGTGGTAAGAAGACACTAGGTGAAAAAAAAAACATCCATGTCGCTGGTCTAACCAAGGGCGAATGATAAAGCGGTAAGGGCGATACGCGCTGGAGAAATATAGAAGCCACTGATAGTCGCGAGAACAAGAGTTCAGCAAACAGAAACAGGACGGCGCAGAAAAAGGCTCGTACCAAGAAAATGAATAATAGCATTACGCAGAAACCAGAAACTCACCGGTAACAAACACGGGCCACGGTTAACGCGCGGATGAAGCAGCGAGCAAAGGCAGCAAAGGTCAAAGGCAGCAACATAACGAAAAGCACTGGGACGACGTAAGCTTGCAATGCAAGACTGATTGCGGCCAACCGAACTTTTCCAAGTTCTGGCGCCCCAAGAGGGCCCAGCCGGTTTCCAGGAAGCCCTCGACAGCCCAGGGGCCTTCAAGAAGGGCCCAACGACGGCCCGAAAGGGACCCAAGATATTCCATAACGCCACCGACACGGCCCCAAGGAAACCTGACGACGGCCCCAAAACAGCCCACGAACTCTCCGAGATTGCTCTAAAGCGCCCCAGGAGAGCCCCGACGCGGCACGGTGAAACCCTGGCCACGGCACGGGGGGGGGCCCGCCACGGGTGCGCGAGACGCACGGGCGTCCCCCATCCCCTCTCCACTGAGGGGGCCCTGGGACACACAAATAACAGGATTCCCCATACTTTCGTATATTTTCTGGGTTCGTGCCTTCCCCACCACTTCCCATATCTTCCATTTTTTCCCTGGGGATCGCCGAGTATCTGTGTTTGTGTTTTTTCCCCATCCTGGTCCACCCCCCCCCAAGGTCAAAATTCTCGTTGAATGACGGGGCCCACCCCCTACGAGCTCCCCGACGCACCTCAGGGGCCCGGACAACCCCATCATGTATGCTTGGGGGGCGCAAGAAGCCCCAGCACGGCCCCAAATGCCCTCGAGATGGCCCTGGGGGCCGCCAAGACGGCCGCCGGATCAGGAGACCCCCAAGATGCCGCAAGACGGCCCTTAGCCCTTAGCTCCTCCCCCTCCCCTCCCCCGCATGATGTTCCCCATTCCCCCCCCCCATCCTCCACCTCCTCTTCGCACTCCTCCCCCTCCCCTCCCCCGCATGATGTTCCCCATTCCCCCCCCCCCCCCCCATCCCCCCATCACCCTCATTTTCCTCGTCCCCCTTCGTTTTTCTCGACCGCCTCTCATCGACCCTCCCCCCCATTCCCCCCTCCTCTTCTGCTTCTTCCTCCACGTCATCCTCGCCCCCATCCTGCCCCCCCCGTGCGTCCCTTCCACTCCACCAAATCCTCCGCGCTCAAGGACGACTCCCCTCCGCACCACCTCTGATGTCGAGAAAAATGCAAAACATCCCGCGCCTTGCGACCCTGGGGCGGATGGAGACCGCGCTCAGAAACCACCCCCCGCGCCCCCCCCCCGAGTGGCGTCGAGAAGATGCCACGCGCACCACGCCCCGCGACCCTGGAACCGAGAGAAGGCCATGCCGCTGAAGCTGATGTGCCGCCTGACTTCGGGGGCTATGTCGCGGAGGTGTTTCGGGTGCCCGTGCGCCATGGACATGGGGTACGTGCCTTCGGTGTCCACGCGCACGTGGCAGATGCAACACTATGCTTTGCAATGCAACGGCGCATGGCACGGCGCGCAGCGCGTAGCGCCGAAGCTTGGGCGCGCAATACGAAACATGCGCGCAACACGCGCGAGGAGCATGAGCGATGTACCTCAGAGACATCAGCTGATATATGCGTTTTCGCAGTGGCAGGGCTGCGCGGGAAATGACGATACAACGACTCGCGCGCTGCATGGGCGGCTGCCGGCCCAACTCCCCAGGCCAGGACGCATGTGCGATGGCGCCCACCTCGGACACCAATGACATGAGCATGACATTCATATGACAAATAGTTCGTCGAGACTATGAGCTTGTTTCCTGCTGTGGGCAAGACCTGATGTCCCGAGTCGTGTCTTGACGGTCCCGAGGCCCGGCGAGGGCCCCCAGAGGACGAAATTGGCGAAAAACCCTTTGTCGCCATTATGCTTATGACTCGAAAAGATCTGGGATCCTGACTTCTTGCTTGTGGACGCCCGCCATGGGTACGGAAAAGATGGGCACGATGCCCTTACAACAAGTGCTGTGCAGAACCAACAGCAGCCGCTCTTGGGCAGGCGGCCGTCTGCCTCAAATGGACAACGTCTGCGGCAGCGCGGACAGCGAGCCCTGTTCAGAATGAACAGGAACTCCTGTCGGTCTCTGTACCCATTCTTTCCGTGCCCGTTTCGCTTGTGCCGACTGCCCCCCCTGGCGAGCACCCCCTGCCCGGCGAAGGCGCCGAAAGAGCGCGGGGGGTCCGGCGGCCGCGCCTCGCAGGGCAGCGTCGGCCGCCCGGGCGGGGTCAGCGGGGCCTCGGGACGGGGCGCGCGCTGCCCGGCGCGGCACGGGCCATCCCAGAGGAACGGAACGGAACGGAACGCCTGCGCGGGCATGCGCCCGGGCCCCTAAGGGCGAGGCGGGTGAGGCCATGGCCTCGCATGAGAAGCTGCGCGCGTCGGGGGTCTGCTCAGGGCAATGCGTGCCATCCCAGAGGGGGTCCGAGCAGAGGGGCGCCTCCACTGGAGCGGCGAGCAAGAGCGGGCCTTGCGCGAGATGGCGCAGCGGCCTCACGCTTGGGGTGCCCTAGATGGGGGGTGACCTAAATGGGGCGGCGGGTGGTGATGCGGGGCGACCTGAATGCGGGGTGAAGAGAAGGAAGGGGCCCTGGGACACACAAACCAATAGACACCGATGGCAGGATTCCCCGCATTTTCCCATCTGTTCTGGGTCTTCGTCTTCCCCCCCACTCCCACATTTTTTCCCATATCTTCTAGGGGAATCGACGATGAATTGCGTCTGCGTGTTTTTGTTCCCCTCTCGAGAAAAGGGCCCCTTCGGGGCCCGTGGCTTCGCCCCTGCGTTCAGGCCGCTCCCCCGTACCACCCGCCCCAGGGGGTCCGAGCAGGCGGTCGCCTCCGTCTGCTTCCGGGCAAACAGGGGGGACTTCCGTAATGAGGTCGCCGACAAAAACTTCAAATGCTCATCCTGTGGCGCATGGCGCGTGTCGGGCCGGGCGAAAGGGGGGGATAGCAAAGGGGGAGAGTGAGAATCAGCTCACATAGCTGACTTTCCCGGCGCCTCCCAGCGCCGGAGGCGGCCACGTATCGAGGAATGGGCTCGGCGGCGGTGCCGAAATCAGCTGCATGCAGCGGATTTCGTAACCCCCCCTTTCCCAATCCCCCCCCCTTGCGTCCGGCCCGAGCGTGGCAGCCACGTGCTGATAGTGTACGATGTGCGTATCCCGCAAGAGCGATTGCACAAACGATTGCGCACATTCGCTGGCCATCGCTCGGACGTCCATTCCCTGTTTTTTTTTTTCGGTTTCGTGCGTGATTGCTTCGGCAAATGATCAAGGATGCTCCTCGATGGTCCTCGCCGAGGAAAAAACGCACACGTCCGAGCGATGTCAGGTTCTTGAGACCCCCAATGCAAAAGATGGGCCCGAAGCCGCCTCCAGGCCTCGAAACTCCAGGAAGCATTCTGGGCACTTTCGTCAGCTCTCGCCAGTGTTCCAGCCTCTGGGTTCTTGCCAGTAGCCGCGCCTCGCCGAAGGGCGTCTTGGGCTGCCCAGAGCCTCCCGAACGGACGCCGGGGGCCCGATGTACGCCCCGAAACCAGACCCATGTGGGGTGCGAGCAGATGAGGTCGGAGGATCGAGCCACCTCGACGATGCATCGGCGATGCATCGGCGATACATCGGCGACGTCGGCGATGCATCAGCGACGTCAACGTGGAGCAAAACGGGATCCACATCGAGCCGCATCGCCCATGCGGAGCGATGCTTCGACCCCTTTTACTCGGGCCCCACTCGTGAGGCCAAGAGTGCGGCACGCCGTCCGTGCACATCACAGGCGCCCACGGCGACAGCACGGTTGACAGATTGCTCGGCCTCCAGGGGCACTGGCCGGGCCCGGAGGCCGCTAAAAAAACGGCTCAGGGTGAAGAGCCGGGGCTGGAGAGTGGGTCAAGACGTCCAAGTCCGCAGTTCGCAGGCCCTGCGTGCGCGTGTGTTTGAGCTGCCTTATTCTGCACAGCAGCTCCCACGGAGGGCCATCATTTTGATATTTGCCACGGCCGAGAATGCTCGTGGCTTCGCGGGCGCAAGGACGCTCATTCTCGTGGAAACGGTCCCTTAGCGAGCACAGATTACGCTACATATGTTATGATGCGTTGCCGCCGCCAGTAATCGTCATAAGCATCATCATCACCACCACGATCACCACCATCATCATCATCATCATCATCATCATCATCATCATCATCATCATCATCAGCATCATCAGCATCATCAACATCATCACCAGCAGCATCATCACCACCATCATCATCGTCATCATCGTCGTCATCACCACCATCATCATCAGCAACAGCATCAGCAACAGTGTCGTCATCATCATCAGCAGAAACAGTAGCAGCATCGTCATCATCACCATCAGCATCACCATCAGTGTCATCATCACCATCACGATCCTCATCATCAGCAGCATCGTCATCATTAGCAGCAGCATCATTCGAGCTTCGACCTGCGGACCTATAGTATTCAGAGGAGCTGTCGCCCATCATCATCATCATCATCATCATCATCATCATCATCATCATCAGCAGCAGCAGCATCATCATCAGCAGCAGCAGCATCATAATAATTATCATCAGCAGCATCATCACCATCGTTATCAGAAGCATCAGCATCATCAGCTTCAGCATCATCATTAGCAGCAGCATCATCATCCACATCCACATCAACACCATCATCAGCAGCATCATCAGTAGCATCACCAGGTTCATCAAAATGTTAGTATCAATCATCATTATCAGCAGCAGCATCACCACCACCATCATCGTCGTCATCATCAATATCGTCATCTTCTTCAGTGTCGTCATCATTAGCGTCATGATCAGAATAATCAACATCATCATCATCATCCTCCCCATCATCATGATCATCATCATCATCATCCTCCCCATCATCATTATCATCATCAGCAGCATCATCATAATCATCAGCGTCATCATCATCATCATCATCATCAGCAGCAGCAACAGCATCAGCATCATTCGGGCTTCGACCTGCGGACCTATAGTCTTCCGAGGAGCTGTGCCCCTACCCTCCACCTCCTCCTCCTCCTCCTCCTCCTCCTCCACCTCCGCCTCCGCCGCCTCCTCCTCCTCCTCCTCCTCCTCCTCCTCCTCCTCCTCCTCCTCCTCCTCCCTCCTCCTCCTCCTCCTCCTCCTCCTCCTCCCTCCTCCTCCTCCTCCTCCTCCTCCTCCTCCTCCCTCCTCCTCCTCCTCCTCCTCCTCCTCCTCCTCCCTCCTCCTCCTCCTCCTCCTCCTCCTCCTCCTCCTCCTCCTCCTCCTCCTCCTCCTCCTCCTCCTCCTCCCTCCTCCTCCTCCTCCTCCTCCTCCTCCTCCTCCTCCTCCTCCTCCTCCTCCTCCTCCTCCTCCTCCTCCTCCTCCTCCTCCTCCTCCTCCTCCTCCTCCTCCTCCTCCTCCTCCTCCTCCTCCTCCTCCTCCTCCTCCTCCTCCTCCTCCTCCTCCTCCTCCTCCTCCTCCTCCTCCTCCTCCTCCTCCTCCTCCTCCTCCTCCTCCTCCTCCTCTCGTGCCCTGTGCTCTTCGTTGCCGTCGCCTAACGTTCGAGTGCCTCGCGCCCTGTGCATGCAACCGAGCACGCAGCCTTAAAAGACGCTATGACCCTGAGCCCCGCACATCTGGGAGAAAGGTCGAGCCGATGGGCTGCAGCGGGATGCGCCCGACATGGGGCAGAGGGCAAGCTGGCGTCGTCTGGTCCGTCCAACGGCGGCACGCCGAAATGGGAACGAAAACTACCCCAGCAAAGTACCCGTATCAATAGCAGTAAAGATGAGGAGGCGGGTCGAGGAGTGGAGGTCGGCGATAAGTGACAGGATAAGAGCACGTCCGTGTGCACCTTAGTTTGGCGGCGCGAACAAGGGGGTAAGGGAAGGGGGGAAGGCTCCTTAGAAGGAGGTTTGGCGGCGCGAACAAGGGGGTAAGGGAAGGGGGGAAGGCTCCTTAGAAGGAGGCTGCTCCTTAGAAGGCCGGTCCGGAACGCTCTGGAACGGATTCATCTCAATTCTGGGCCCGCCCGAATTCCCCCACCCATCACGAGGGCTTGGGGTGCGGCAGTCCCCAAGCAGCTCCGGAACAAAAATGTAGCCGGCATTGAGTCAAGGTGGACAAACCTCCCTTCAGTGAAAACGGCCTGGGACCGAAACCGACGGACCTGGACCCGCAAGAATGACGGCCGCGACGCCCTCTCGCCAACCGAGAACGGCCAATTCCTTAATCGACGTGTCAGGGCAGGAGGTCTGTCCACACCCGAACTTGAGGGGAGAACACGATTCCCGAAGAAGCGGCTGCCAGACAGGGCAGTCTCGGGCTCCCCGCCCCCCCCCCCCGTGGGACTCTTGCGTGGTCCTTCCTTGCCACTGTGAGAACCATCTGGAGAAACGCTATCAACAGGACGCACAGAGACAGACTAATACTGCATGTCTTGCCACTGTGAGAACAATCTGGAGAAACGCTGTCAATAGGACGCGCAGAGACATACTAATACTGTATGTCCGCCTTGGAGGCGCGCGTCCGACCCGAACATATAGTAGACCCATCTTGTAGTATATCGTTTCCCGAGCGGTGTGGCCAGAAAGCGCCCGCCACGACGCGTATATTATAAGATTTCTCGGTGCGCGCGTCGCCCCTGGAGGGGCGACGAACACATAATAGAAGTATGTTGGGGGGACACCGATATGAAGGAAAGCAGGGGAGCAATGCCCAACAGCGAACGCTGTCCAGAACCAACAGCCAGCCCCGAGAGGGGTCGAGCCGCGAAATCGGATCGGATCGGAAAAGGATCGCAGTAAGCCCAAGATGGCACGACATCGGGCTCGGACCCTGCAGGCTCGGGATCGAGAACCGGCCCGTGACGGGTCGGATCAGATCGAGACCCGAATCGAAGCCTGGGGCTCGGGGATCGGATCGGATCGGATCGGACCGTGAGCAGGCCTGGTGAGCGTTTTCTGATTCGGCCTTTCGACACTGGGCGGAAGGGGGGGAGAAGGGGGGGGGTCTGGCTCCGGACCTCTGCTTAGTGCGACTGTCTGCAGCAGTGCGTCCTGTGGCGGAGGCTGCACCTGCTCGAAGCAGGCGCCAAGAACAGGCGCAATCTACTCCATGGAAGGGGGGGGGGTCGGTGCGAGGGCCCTCGCCGATCGGCCAAACAGTGGATGAGGAAACGACCACCTGACAGCGGCCGCTGCGAGTTGCTCTGTGCGGGGGCCCAGAAGTCCCGCCCCCACCA